AAAAGTGTGGTGGATGGTGGTTCTCCTCACCCAGGATTTGGCGATTGGGTCCCCTAAAAAGCCTAGTCGCCTTTTAAAAAGGGGAGTATATAAGGTACAGTACAAAGTCCGTAATCCAGACGTCCATTATCCGGAATGATCTATAATCTGAACGTAAAAGCCACAAACTTATGCATGCATGTAAAGCGTTTATGCATGCGTGTTTGATGCGCGCAAAGCCAGTAAAGCGTTTACCCATGCACGCTTCCGATAATGAAGAAAGTTACATTGAAAGAAATGTTTAATAAAGTAAAAAAATAAATATTAAGCTTTTTTTTTTTTCGTAAATTTTGATATCCTTTAGATCATAATTGCTCTTTATTTCATATATTACGGCTTCATATTTTTAATTGTATAATTTCTGCATACCATCTTACCAGATTTAAATTGATGATCTATATACCAGAAAAAACCCTAATCCGGAATCGCCGAAGTCTCGCCGAGTTCAGATTACGGGCTTTGTAGTGTATTTCTCCCACTTCTTAGCGACTCTTCGTGGCGTAGTGGTCAGCACACTCAGCATGTAATCAGTGAAGGCATTGCTAATTTTTCATCTCCTTGGCTTCCAAATAATACCTTATGTCTCTACAGCTATTTAAAGTAATACAGTCAAAAGTCTTTAATCTGGACTCGTCGGGACTTCGGCGATTCCGGATTTTCGATTTTTCCAGATTATAGATCATCAGTTTAAATCTGGTAAGATGGAATGCAGAAATTATAAAATTAAAAATATGAAACCGTAATTTATGAAATAAAGAACAATTATGATCTAAAGGGTATCAAAATTTACAAAAAAAAAGCTTATTATTTATTTCTTTACTTTATTAAATATTTCTTTTAATGTAAGTTGTTTCATTTTATGTAATAATACTTTCTCTTTAATTCTATAAACAGACGTGATTTCTTGTTCAGTTACAAAGTTCCGCTGTTCAAGTCCTATAATTGCTGCGTCGAGAATACCGACTAATTTGTCAATCGAAATTTTTTCGTTTTCAATAACCTCTGTGTCACTTTCTTCACTATCGGAAGCGAATTATAATGACGAGGAATTTGATTTAAATCATATCAAAGACGGAGTAAATCGAGATGAAATACTACATTTAGTAAGGAATTGTAAGCCAAATAAAATAAAAACATCTGCCCTGAAGATAAGGATAGTGCTGACAGATTAACTTCCAATTCATTGTGCACCGCGATGTCCCCCCCCCCCGCAGAGCAGCGTGAAATTGCTAAACAGATTTCAGAATGGTTATAGAAACAAAGGATATGCCTTTATCCATTTTTGCAGCAATTCCACTTTTTGTTTGATGTACATCGAAACATGCTTTCGCTTTGTAGATTCTTTGGCAGCTCCAGAATCCGAAATTCTTTTTGACATAATCGAAAGTTCAAGCTTACTTTTATAAAACTGCTCTATAATAAGCCAGATCCAATTCGAAGATTAAGGAACAACGCAATCTGTAACCTTAACTGAAATAGATAATTAGATAATTTTAGCTTAGCTTATACTGTCCGTTATACATTAAACGCATTAGCGTAAACGTAAACGCATATGCACATGCGTGTGCGCATGTGCATATGCGTTTTTACATTAAAAGAAACTAATTGAAAAAAATAAAGTATTACTATCATGCATAAACGCCTATACGCATGCATGAACCCATTATGCGTTGACACATGCGCAGAAAGTTTGTAGCTTTGAGGTCCGAATTAAAAAATCATTCCGGATTATGGTTGTGCAGATTAACAACTTTTGACTGTATATGCAAGTCATCCTAAATTAAAATGTCAGTTATACATCTTTCTCATTTAAATGTCTTTAAATGAGAAAGCATGTTAACTGTGCTTTACTGCATTTTCTCTTTTAATATATTTAGTTTTCAGATGCATCGTCTGTCTGGGACACAAAGTATTCTTCCGAAAGAAGCGCAATTGAAATAAATAAAATAAAATCCCGGAAAATTTATATTAATAAATATATTTAAAATGCTGAGTTCGAATGAATAAATAGAAAATTTTAAAACAATTATCTGAAGAGACAATGCAACACAAACAATTAAAATAAATGTCTAAAAATTAAAAAATTACCTAACATAATAACTATGACAAAAAAATATATTAAAGAAAACTAATTGAAAAAATAAAGGATGCACCTTTAATTAAAACTATGCAGTTCGAATGGGTGTTAAATAGAATTTTTTATTTTTTTCCCCTCCGAAAGAAACCATGCAACTCAAACAATTAAAAAAAATTCGAAAACAAAAAAATTACTTAAAATAGCAATATTAATTAAAAATATAATATAAAGAATATTATTTGAAGAAAGGAACGACTGTAACTTTTTTTCACTCACGGGAAAGGAAAACAGGTTGCCACATATTAAGAAGTTCGCTAAGTGAACTATTCTTGCCGCAAACTGAAAAAAATTGCCGACATAAATTTGTGGATTTCTCTGTAAATTTCGCACCAAATATTACAAAATTTTATATTTAGGCATAATTTGAGTCGTAGAATTGAAATATGGAAAAAAAATTGGTGTTATTTCAGAAAAAATCCGATTTCGTGTCAAAATAACTATGTTAGAATAGAGCTATATATAAATCTAATATATATTCTAAGTCGCGCTTTCAAGACAAGAAGATCGCAATTTGAATTTCGTCAACCGGCCCAGTAGATCGGGAGATATCGAACTGTCCCCTTTTTTTTTCACAGCGTATAACACTCTGTTTTTATGAGTTTTACTCACTGCAGTCACACATGCTCATTTTTGGACAAGTTAATTTTCTTAGTTCCTGCACACTAATTTTTTTAGCTCATAATTAGTAATTTTTTATGGTTAGTGACATATTTATTTCTAATTAGTATTTGCTCATGCTTTTACAGTAATTTATGCAAAAAAGATATATGTTGCTTTTGTCAGCATGAAATAATTTAATAAAGCTAAACTTAGCAAATCTTTGCATGTTAATTTTCTAACTAATGCAATTTCTTGATTAAATTAATTTGGTAAAGATGTAATATGTGATTTGCTGCTTTTAGTCAGTTATTTCTCAGATAGCACCATGAAAATGCTATATTTAAATATGCAAATAAATACAAATAATTAAAAATATACAAATGAAAATAATTCGGTTGATCTTTACAATATGGTAACTGGTAGTTTGGCGACATTTTGGAGGCGATAAATGTTACTACCTGGGACTTTGGTAATAATGTGAGCAGTACTCAGTTCCCATTACGCATTATTTTGTGTGGGGGAAATGAGAGATCATGGGATATGTCATGTGATATTAATGGACGAATTAGTGTTCTTTAATTGGGAAAAAATCTGGCAATTTTGTATTTTGGCTTTATTCTGTGTTGTGTGAAATAGTGTTTGTAAATTTTTGGAGCCCATGGCCGTAACTAAAGTGAATTCAAAATGGGTATTTAGTGGTATTGAAAACGATAGTAATAAATGTTTTTTAAGGTTGTGCGAGAGAGAAATAAAGATGTTTTATTATGTTATTTATTTTACCTGGTATCTTGCTTTGAAAGATAAGTATGATTTTAAAGATTCTGAAACAGAAGGAAGAAAAGTGTATCCGCCACATAATCAAGATTCTGAAGAAGATTAGGTAAGTTAGTTTTTTTAATTATTTGAGGATATTATTTTTATGCATTGTTGTAAATGTAAGGTGGAAAGGAATTTGGTATTATTGGGAAAATTGTTATTAGCAATGATTTAGTTTAAAGTAATTAGGATTGTAAGGTAATTTTTATTAATTTAATGCATGTGCTCATTTATATTTTAAGTAGTGTTTTTGAATTTAATTATATTTTAATGAAATGATAGTTATTTTGTGAATTTTATGTTTGTAGGAATTTGGTATACGTTTAAGTTGAAATAAACATGCATGGAAATAATTTAAATATTTGATATTAAGTATTTGTAATGCTTGAGGTATGAATTCGTTGGTGACGTGTATAATGAATGTAATAGATGATTTAGAGGTAAAAGTTTTTGGATATTCTATTTATTTTACATGTGGAAATGTTGATACTTGTAAAGGGTAAATACTTTTCGCGATCATGTAATTTCATATATGTCTTTTTACCGGGTTTAAAGATTGAGAAAATTGTCATGTATTTTCGTGAAATTTTTTAATTTATGAGAAAAAAGCAGTGTACATGGATATAGTGAAGAGTGTGCGCAATGCCATTTTTGTGCAATTCTGGGATTTTTTTAAGTAAAAATAAGTCGGCGTGTACATGGTTTATGTGTATGTGTTATTTTGAAAAATGCGTAAGGAGGATGGTATTGTGCAGTTTTTCCTAATTTTGCAGTGAATAGTTGTCATGATTAAGCAGTTTTGTTTGATAAAATTTCTAGCATAAGTGTAATTCGGCTAGTAGATTGTTGGAAGAAGTGTTCAGGAGATAAAAAGAAAAGAAACATGTCTTTACTTCGTGAAGACAAAATGGCGGCGGGGGAAAAAAAATAGAGGGTTGCTGTAGGAGAGTTGGTCGCCAAATTTTCGCCAAAAAATCGTTAAGTTACCATAATGTAAAGATAAACCAATAATTCCATTAATTAATTCCATAATACATTAAATTTTTACTCTATTAAATTTATATGTCAGCAGCTTCATAAAATAAATTCAATAGCTTTCATATTCAAAATTGAAACCTGCAATAAAATGGAGGAGGTTAAAAAGGAAAGTAATGGGGAAAAAAAAATGATTAAAACAACAACTAACTTTAGTGACACTGATCAAAAATACATAAACAACTAGAAGTGATAAATAGTATATTACTTCATTACCTTTAATTTTATGTCACTCTTACAATGTAATTTTAAGTTTCACAAAAATTTCAGAGTATTTTTAATTTTCATTTATCCTAAATTTCCTGATTTCTCATTTATAGAAACTAGTACCTGAGTAAATTTATTAGAATGATTAACTGAAAATACAGCTTACCATTTGCACTAGTAAAATAATTATAAAGTTCCATTAAGCTTTATAAAGTCAGGAAATCTTCTAAATTTCTTCATAAGAAATGTTTTTCTAAAATAGTAATTAAAATAACAATTACTTCAATGAACTATTGTTTAAAATTTCCATGCATAATAATATGAAAAACTTTTTTTTTTTTTTTTTTTAGGTAACGTATATAAATTTCTTTCAGTATTTCGATTTTTAATAACTCTATAATACATATGTACTTATGAATCATTTCAAGCATAATGCATGAATATAAAAGATTTATTAATGCTAATAATAAACTATTTTATAATAATTTTAGATGGAAAAAAACATTTCTGTTCTGTATTTGCATATTTTAATGTGCTTTAAAGGATCAAAGTAACTATTTCCTACTTCAGCATGAGTCTTAAAATAAGGATTTGGTCAATTTTATATTTTGTAAAAACCTTAAACTTTTGCAATGTTCCACTTAAAAATGCATCTTCAAACAAAGATTTAGCTAACTTCTTTCGTAAATATACTCTGTAAACAGGTGCAAGAAGCAGACAAAACACCACAAATTCCCCGTTAGGCTGTGCAGGTATAATCCCACTGCACTAACTGTACAGTTCTACCTCGATTTCAATGAAGAACATCCCAAGAGGCAGATCCAAATGTCTCCTACTCCTCTTACCCTACCACAAACCACCAAAGAGGACTTGAAGTTTGAGAGTATTTTAAGAGTTCCTATGTTACACAAACACTGTACATTTATAAACATCTGTGCATTCTCCAAGATTCAAACACAGACCCAAAATTACAGCAGTTAACATTGCTAATCACTACAGCAATCAGAGCAGCAGCTTCTACAAACAATAAAATCTTAGGCTCTAGTGTAGAATTGGGTGCCCCTTTGATTGGCGACAATTTTTTTTTTTTTTTTTTTTTTTTTTTTTTGTGATGAAACCTGACTTCTGGTTACCACGATAGTTTTAACTTTGTTTTAGCTTTCCAATTTTATTTAAATGAAAATAGATTGATGTGTACATGGACATATTTAAAGAAGTGCACAATGCCTAGTTTGTGCTATTCTAGGATGTTTTTTTAAGTAAAAACAGATCGATGTGTAGATGGACACAGATCTTGTGCAATTCTTTGACTTCTTATTTTGGTTTTGTGTAGCTGCCATCTTGAAATTGTGCCTTCCTGGCGCCGATCTTCGCGTCAAAAAAGAATCTCCAATAAACAAGGGGCACCCAATTGTAAACTTTTACCAAATCTTATTAATTTCAAAATCAGACTTTTTTATATCTCACCCCTTCTGCAACCACGAGGCCGATTATTATTAGCCAGAAAGGTTGCAGCATACTTGCATATTACATTACATTTCACCCCTTCCAACACACATACAAACACAAAAAAAAAAAAATAAAAAATAAAAAAAAAATGCAATCAGAAAGCTTTAGAGTGCAGTCCAATATCCTGAACAGTTTAAAATTTAACAAATTTAAAAGCGTAGGAATTATTTAATTGGAAAAAAACTGCTATCTAATCTTAGCATGCAGATTTCAGTTTCATACCTAAAACAATTTTAACCTAAGCAGTTACAATAGACCTAAGTTAAATTCTCTATATATTGCTGAAATGAGAGTACACCTACACTCATTTCAGCAATCAAAAGAATGCATTTAGAGAGACACTCAAGAAAAATAATAATAATTAGATTATAAAATAATATTAATAATATTTACTGGTACTTTAAAAGCCCCAGGAAATACAAGATAAAAATAAAAATATAAAAAATTACATTAAAATTTACTGATCGAGTATTACAAAAAGTAAATAAATTCTTGAACAAATTATATTTGAGAATCCATCAAAATACGGTGGTATGTGCATCAAAAGAAGCTATAAAAAGGTTTTTTTTTTAGAAAATACTTTGACTACTTAAGGTAAACTAAGCAATCCGTTTAAAATGCTTTTCCTAAATGTACAATTAAAAAATTTCATCTGAAAAAGTTCTTGAACATCGCCAAATAATTTTTAACATCTTTCCATCCTTTTCTAGTAATTATTTTTTGTTCAATGGAATCTACTATAAAACGAAAATAGTTAATTCATATGTAAACATTTTTTTCTTTTCTTTTTTTTTTTTTTTTACTTGCATTTAGTAACAGCTATTTCTTAACAGCAAGCAAGCGCTTTCGAATTGTTTACATTTTCTTAAGGATATCCCAAATCCTGAAAACTGTGCACATTAAAATTTATTCAGAAAGTAAGACATTACTAAACAAGAATGCACTTCCACACTTCTATGTAAAATAGAAACAATTTTGTTAATTGGGTTAAATTGCTACCCTTAATGCAATACGGTCGGTCTTCCTATTATTACAGACAGACAGACAGACAGACAAAGTAGACAGATGTCTTGTTTTGCACCCACTAAGTCTTTCTGCACCGATGGGCGAAAAATCAAACATAGGTGCGAAGGAAAGGTATATAGAAAGAGGGGCAATTTCGTATTTGAGGAGAGTAAAAAGGAACTTCGTACATCTTGTACGAGTTCAAAAGGCCAGGAAGAAAAGATGGGACAAAATAAAATTTAAAATAAATGGCCCAAAAAATAATAGAGGGAAAAAAAAAAAAAAAAAAAAAAAAAAAAAAGGGCCTATAGAATGAAAAGGAAAAGAAGTAGGAAATATCCTAAAATACGATTGTGTCCATGAGTGTAGTTAAAAGGAGAAGAAATTGTCTTCATTACAATAAAAGTGTCTCACATGTGTGTTTTGTGTAGTGAGTGTGTTTGGTAATGGTGAATAGATGTGTTACTGGGGAAAAAACAAATATTGACGGTGTTAAAATGCTTCGTATCAAGGTATTTAGCATGGAATATAAAGTAATATGTACGCTTGCATCCTGAGATATCAACAAAGGTCATCAAACAAAAGTATATATTAATTTAACCAAAGTAACTTATGCTACTTTCATTCTCAACATTTTCATACATTTTTCAAAAAACAGCAGCAGACTATCAACAGAGAACCATATACAATATATACAATACAAGACCACAACCGCACACACAATATATATATATATATATGTGTGTGTGTGTGTGTGTGTGTGTGTGTGTGTGTAATTACTGAGTATATGTATTAAAAACACAAATTAAACAGTATTTATTAATTTAACTATCATAATTTATTACAAGATTAATTATTTTACTATCATAATTTATTACTAGTTAAATAATGTTAGTATAACACAATGAGGCACACTGTTATTTATATAAGCTCATAGTTCTAAGAATTCATTTAAGGCGGTGAAGAATAATAAACCATCCCTTACATATGGACATTTAACAGATAGCAAAGAACAGTATGAGAAAAAAATCGGTGAGGTATAATATTATTTAAAGGCGAAACTATATAAAAGCGATCTAGAAAGAAATGAGAATCCAGAAGATCCGAGAGGGAAAATAGCGCGATGATCCCAAATTATTCCCTCTCATCCCCAGAATTTTCCCTCTCACGAGATTCTTTAAGGACTTTGTAAGTGGTTGACAGACGTGAACTGATAACGCTTGGCGTCTGTTTGAGAGTTGATACACAAAGGAAGCCACAAGCAATGAGCAATTTCAAGTATTTTTTAATGCTTTAAACTGAATGAAAAATTAAGATTTTATTGATTTAAATGCACTTATTTAAAGAAATTTGATTTAGTTTAGATGAAAGAAAAGTACTTATCTTAAAATTCCAGGCTTTTGGAGTATATCCTTACATTGTCCGCTGTTTTATTCTCGTCAACATCGGAGCCGAAATTCATTGGAATGATATAGGTGTTGTGGTGTCTCTCTTCATGAGTCATAAATTCAAAGATCGTTTCGTTTCAGGAGTCAAGGTTGGGAGAGCATTAGAATTTCAAATCAAAATTTCAAGAGTTCACGGAACATAGAAATAACATTTATTAACGTTAAACTTATATTAATTCCGCTTATAGCGGCCATGAAACATAATCAAGCATCAAATAAATATGACATGCGTCATTCTTCATGTTCAAGCGTCAAATGATATATTTTTCATCGGCGCGCATCAAGAGCGCCACCTATGTACCAAAAAGACGGAACATACTCCGCCCCGATGAACATTGGTTCATTACAACATTATTATAAAAATCTTCAATTTTAGATTCAAACAAGTTTTCCAAAGTTCAACAGTATATCATATAAAATAAAAATGTATAATGACAAATTTAAATTGAATAACAACATTAAATTTAGCACAAATTTTACAAATAAAACATACTTACAATCTCTAGAAGGAAAACAAAATAATGACACTGCTAAATTACCATAATCCACAATTGTGGTCCATTCTCTGAATCTGAAACATAATTGAATTAATAATAATAATAAAGACACAAATTATGAATACAATTAATGGTTTTTTTTTCCTAGAGTCTTATTCACTCAATGGTAAGCGGGAAAGTTTATGTATAGGACACTTCATTTCGCCCAATAAAGTTTTTAGTTTCACAACACGAGTTTTTTCATCAGCACCAGGATATAGTTCAATTACTCGTCCAAGTCGCCACTTTAATGGAGGCAAATTTTCGTCCTTTATCAAGACTAAGTCATTGAGGGCTAAATTTGGTTTATCCCTCAACCATTTGGTACGCCAAATTGTGAAAGATATCAATTGTGAAAGATTATCAATTGTGAAAGATAATCTCTAGACCAACGTTTCCAAAAGCTCTGGAAAATTTGCTGTGTTAATTTCCATCTTTCAGCAGGGGTTAGCTTATTATTTGTAAGATCAGGTTCAGGAATTGCGGTTAATGTAGTCCCAATTAGGAAATGTCCAGGTGTTAAAGGATTAAAATCTTCAGGGTCAGATGAGATGGAAACTATTGGCCTGGAATTCAAACACGCCTCGATCTGTGTAATTAAGGTGTGAAATTCTTCGTATGTCAGAACCTGGGTTCCAATAGTCCGCTTAAGTGAATCTTCATTTGTTTCACTCTAGCCTCCCAAAGGCCTCCAAAGTGAGGGGCAGCAGGAGGATTGAAGATCCATTGAATATTTTCACCGCTCAGGTAGTTTTGAAATGCTTCTTCAGAGGAAAGTGTAGCTTTGTATCTTCTTAATTCTCGATCAGCCCCAACAAAGTTGGTTCCTCTATATGAAAAGATTTTTTTGGGTTTTCCTCTACGTGACACAAATCTTTTCACAGATGCTAGGAATGCTTCAGTTGTTAGAATCACTGACAACTACTTCTAGGTGAATGGCCTTTTGTGGTAAAGCATATGTAAAGGCAAACATAACATTTATATCTCGTTCCTCCTCTTCCTTTCCTAGCTTTAATTAAAAAGGGGCCTGCAAAATCTAGTCCTGTATTCGAGAATGTTCTATCTGGCAATACGCGAGAAGCAGGTAGGTCGCCCATTATCTGACTGGATGTGCTTGTTCAATTTTTAAAACATTGTATACATTTCCAAATTATTTTTCTTACAATTTCTCGGCCATTAACGATCCAATATTTCTGTCGCAGAGCAGATAATGTTAATGTGGCTCCTCTGTCTGTGAAGGTTCACTTCGTGAAAGTGTTTGACTATCAATTCAGTAACTTCATGACTTTTGGGAAGAATGGTTGGATACTTTGTGTTTTCTGAAAGATTCGAGTTACAGAGTCTACCACCGACTCTAAGGATATCTTCTCTATCAAGAAAAGGATTTAATTTCAGGATTTTACTGCTGAGACTCAATTTCTTCCCTTCTTTCAAAAGTCTAATTTCTTCTCTAAATTCGGAATTTTGCATGATTTTAAAAATCAAATTGCTTGCCTTATCCAATTCTTGAACTGTTAAAAAACCCTTGAGTTTTACCGATGTAGGTTTAATATTGTGGCAGAATCTTAAACACCATGCAGTTACGCGTTTCAATTTTTTCCAGGATGAAAATCTGGATGTCAATTCAAATTCAGCCTCTTGGCTAATAACAGAACATACAGTAGTTTGACGCTGTTCTACCTGTACCTCTTCCACCATAGGCTCGATCAAAGGATCAAAAAATGATGAAGGTAAAATTTTCTCTTTTAACCACACTGGTTCATTGAACCAAGGTCACTAGATCAGAAGCTCTTAATCCACGTGAAACTATGTCAGCCGGATTGTCATTTCCCTTACAGTATTTCCATTGCGAAGGTGATACAACATCTTGTATTTCACGTACACGATTAGCAACAAAGGGTTTCCATTTATCAGCGGTACCCCTGATCCAGTGAAGAACAATTTTAGAGTCACTAAAACAAAATACATTATCTTCTTGGATATTAAACAATTTCCTTAAATATTTAACTATTCTTGCGGCAATAATGGCTCCCATAAGTTCTAAACGAGGCAAGGTTAATTTTTTAAGTGGGGATACACGGCTCTTTGAAAGAACAAAAGACGTTACAGCAAGAATCAGGATCACGAAAATATGCAGCAATAGCTCTATCCCTTGATATCCCTTGAGGCTGGCGTCACAAAAGACAAAAAGCTCTATTTTATCGAAATTTACACATTCATCATTTAATATGTATTTTCTAGGAATACACAAGTTGAGAATAACTTCAATTTCAAAGTACCAAGTTTTAAATTTTTCACTCAAATAGCTGGGCAAAATTGTGTCCCAATCAATACCCAATTCCCATAACTCTTGTAATAAGAATTTTATTCTGATAACAAAAGGTGCAATGAAGCCAACTGGGTCATAAATTTTTGCCACAATCTGTAATACCTTTCGCTTTGTAACGTGTTTCCAGTCAACTGGTTGTAAAAGTTCTTGTACATCTAATTTCAATGTGTCCTCATCCAAATCCCAAATTATTCCCAGCACCTTTAACGTTCTTCTTATCCAAATTATCTTCCTTTATTAATTAAACCAATATCTTGCCAATGATTTTTTAAAGATACGGAATTTGATTCAAATTTTCTTAAGTTCATACCAGCGTCTTGAAGAAGAATTTTAACTGCATCAGTTGATAATGAGAAAACTTCTTCAACGGAGTCTGCTCCATGGATAAGGTCATCAACATATAAGGACTTATTTAACATGTCAACAGCTTTGCTATATTTCTTTTCATAACCCTTAATATGATGTTTGATAGTGGCGGACAAAATAAACGGACTTGTTGTCATTCCAAACGGCACTCGGCACATTCGGAAAACCTTAAAGCCTAAACTATTGTCACTATTGTCGTAAGAATGATCAAACCACAAGAACCTTAAAAAATTTCTATCTTCACTATCAATTTGAATTTGGTGAAAAGCCTTCTCTATGTCTGCACAAAATGCAACTTTATGTACGCGAAATTTTAAAATTATATCCAACAAGTTAGGATTTAAATTAGAGC